TGTGAACTTTAATCGATGTTGAAAGGAAGAGAAGCCTTGGTTTTGAGACCCGTGGGCATTTGGAGCCTGAGAGGCCGGACTAGTCCAAAAGGTTTAGGAGTGCAAACAAGAGAGGGGAACGTAATTGTGAGCGGAGGTGCATGGTAGTCGAAGTTTTAAGAATGAGTGCCGCAGTAGGAAAGGTAATCAAAGGAGACCTACGACGTTGCGCTGACGCTAGTGATACCTATGCCGCCATTGAACCGATGCGATATGGGACAAAAAGAGGCCAAACAAGATAGGGGAACGTAATTGTGAGCTGAGATTCATGATGGTGGAGCCGAGAGGCAAAAGTCAATCAGAGACCTGCAATTGCTTTTTGCAGGGGACCATGCATACAGGTAATGAGCCAGTATCACGAGGCTGTTTCTTATGCCAATGAAAATTATAATCTATGCTCAAAGAAAGAGAAGCCATTGTTTAAGACCTATAGGCATCCGGAGCCGGAGGCCGGTGCGGTCCAGGAGGTTTAAGAGTGCGTGGCGCAGTAGGAAAGTGGATCAAATGTGGTCTAGTATGTTGTGCTGACGCTAGGGGAACCTAATCCACCATTGAACTGATGCGATATGGACCAGAGAAGAGGCCAAACAAGAGAGGGGGACGTAATTGTGATCTGAGAAGCATGAGCGTGGAGCCGAGAGGCAAAATTCACCCAGGGACCAGAAATTTCAGTTTCTGTAGAAGGACAAAGCATGCAGGTAATGTACAAGACGGAGGCAAGTACGTGAGGCAGTTACTTATACAAATGAGAACATTTTCCGACGGCAGCCGATGCTCTAATGAGAGAGGCCTTGTTTTAAGACCGATGGGTATTAGGAGCCTGAGAGGCCGGACAAGTTCAGCAGGTATAATAATGAGTGTCACAGTAGCAAAGAGAATAAAACGGGGGCTAGTAAGTTGCGCTGGCGTTAGAGGTACCTATACCGTCATTGAACCGATGCGATATGGACCAAAAGAGAGGCCGAACAAGAGAGGGAGACGATACTTGTGAGCTGAGAAGAATGATAGTGGAGCCGAGAGGCAAGATTAATCTAGGACATGATCTTTCGATTTAGGTAGAGGGATCAAGCATACAGAAAAGGAATCGGAAGGAGACGAGAATCATGAGGCCGTTACTTATACCGTTAACAACCTTAATCGATGACAGCCGATCCTCAGAGTTAAAGAGGCCTTGGCTTGAGACCTATAGGCATTTGGAGCCTGAGATGCCGGAGTAGTCCAATGGGTTTCACAATGAGTGCCATAGTTGCAAAGAGAATCACACGGGAGCTAGTAAGTTGCGTTGATGTTAGAGGCGCCTAGACCACCATTGAACCGATGCGATATGGGACAAAAGAGAGGCCAAACAAGAGAGGGAGACGATACTTGTGAGCTGAGAAGAATGATAGTGGAACCGAGAGGCAAAAGTCAATCAGGGACCTGAAATTGCAATTTGCAGGGGTCCAAGCCTATTAAATGTATCAGACGGAGGCGAGTATATGAGGCTGTTTTTTATGTCAATGTGAACTTTAATCGATGTTGAAAGGAAGAGAAGCCTTGGTTTGAGACCCGTGGGCATTTGGAGCCTGAGAGGCCGGACTAGTCCAAAAGGTTTAGGAGTGCAAACAAGAGAGGGGAACGTAATTGTGAGCGGAGGTGCATGGTAGTCGAAGTTTTAAGAATGAGTGCCGCAGTAGGAAAGGTAATCAAAGGAGACCTACGACGTTGCGCTGACGCTAGTGATACCTATGCCGCCATTGAACCGATGCGATATGGGACAAAAAGAGGCCAAACAAGATAGGGGAACGTAATTGTGAGCTGAGATTCATGATGGTGAAGCCGAGAGGCAAAAGTCAATCAGAGACCTGCAATTGCTTTTTGCAGGGGACCATGCATACAGGTAATGAGGCAGACGGAGGCCAGTATCATGAGGCTGTCTCTTATGCCAATGAGAACTGTAATCGATGCTCAAAGGAGGAGAGGCCTTTGTTTGAGTCCTATAGGCATTTGGAGCCGGAGGCCGGTGCGGTTTAGGAGGTTTAAGAGTGCGTGGCGCAGTAGAAAAGTGGGTCAAATATGGCCTAGTATGTTGTGCTGACGCTATGGGAACCTAATCCACCATTAAACAGTTGCGGTACGGACCAAAAGAGAGGCCAAACAAGAGAGGGGGACGTAATTGTGAGCTGCGAAGCATGAGCGTGGAGCCGAGAAGCAAACTAATCAAGTACCGGAACTTTCGTTTTCGGTAGGGGGACCAAGCATGCAGATAATGTATCAGACGGAGACTAGTATCATGAGGTTGTTACATTTAAAAATGAAAACATTCGTTAATGGCAGCCGATGTTCAAATGAATAGAGTCCTTGGTTTGAGGCCTATGGGCATTTGGGGCCTGAGGGGCCGGATTAGTCGAAAAGTTTTAAGAATGTGTGCCACAGTAGCAAAGAGAATCAGAGGAGGCCTAGGATTTTGCGCTGACGCTAGTGGTGCCTATGCCACCATTGAACAGTTGCGATATGGACCAAAAGAGAGGCTATGCAAGAGATGGAGGCTTTGAAGTGAGCTGAGAAGCATGATATTAGAAACGAGAAGCTAGCGAGGCCTAGGATTTGTTACAGGCGTTATGTGTTCTTATGCCACTAATGAAGAGTTGCGATAAGGACCAGAAGAGGTGCCGAATACATTATACACATAGTCGGGTTAAGCATAAGGGAGGAGTAGAGTAAGCAAAGATGCGGCTAAGGATGTAAATCTCAGCGTTCTAGAAGGAACAGTAACTAAAATATTTGGATCAAAGAGATGGAAGTCTTGATGCAGTCTCTTCTAGGTAGGGATAGGAAGGACAAAAGCGAGCAGACGTGCGAATAAGGTATCGGAAACAGTCGTGATGCAAGGTTAAAATGAAGTAGGAAACTGTTGGTAATAAAGCAGTAAAAAGGGGATGTAAGCTAGTTCGCTAGAGGTTGTTTGGTCCTGTCTCCCATAGTTCGTCTTCCGTCACTTTGAGGTTTAATAGTTCGGAGACTGTGTTTACATCGAGGAATCTCTGAATAGCATTGCTGAAGTGTGTACTGGTCATAGATGATCGGATTTGCATAGGTAATTTGTTCCAGGTGTTCGCGTATTTATAAGGGAAGAAGTTATGTCGGATGCCACAACGAGCAGCCGGCAGACTGAATGAAAAGGTCGCGTTGCGCAGATGATATCGGGTATCTCCTTCCGTTCGAAAGTGTCGGGTAAGTATCGTTTCCGGCTCTTGTTTAAGTTTGTATAGAAACGTAAGGTTTATCTTTAGCCTACGTAGCCGCAGCGGGTCCAGTCCCAGTTGTTTGATGTACAATGTACAACAATGATTGTGCTGAAAGTGTCTTGAATGTTATACGAAGGCAATTGCCGTATAGGTTGGTTTCAACCATCTACATATAATACAGAGCGTTGCGTCATTGAGCAAAAAACGCAGTATCGGTTTGCTATGATGCAACTATTGCGCGGGAATACAGAAAGCAGAATTCAAAGACCAGCGGCGTTTGTACTGTAGATGAACATCTGGTAGCCAACCTACTTTGATAGGGAGCGCATAATAAATAAGTGAAGGTATAAATGGCTTGCGACGAAAGAGATTAAAAGGTCGTTTGTTGGTAAGTCAGCGGATAGATAGGACTCAAGCGCTGAGTAAAATTCTTTTGGGGATCCATCCAGAAGGTATTAAGAGTATATTGTATGGCCGACTGAGATGGGAAAAGCCTGTGAGAGAGCTTACCTCCTACATAATAAGAAAACGGTCAGTTAATACTAAGTGCTCAGCTACTGATACAAGTCGATCTATTAAACCGGAAGGGTCAATAGTCGAGGAACCTCTAAGGCAACCTTTAAACAGCTCAGTCAGTTCGGACATGTTATGAAACTCCTACGATGATCGAGGCAAGCCCAGCATAACATAAACTCAGGGAACAGAGCCGCCAACGCCTCGAGCCAACAGATCACGTATATGGACCACACCACCAAGTTCCCCTGAGCCGCTGGGCTCAGCGCCGCCAACTTTAAAAATAAGAAAACCGGAGACGCTAGCACCATATAATGCTGCTTGCGAGAACGGATTGTGCAGCGCACTAGTGTTCAATGTTCCAGAAGATATATCGGTGGACGCATTTAGATGTGCAATCATTGCGGTTAATGGCATTGCAGAGAATGCAATGCGGGTTCAAAAACTGACTAAGCGTGTAACCAAATTTGCGGTTCCTATGAAATTGAACGCACAGCATGAGGCAGTACTGCGTACTCTCATAGATAACCGTGAACAACTTCGCAGTGCAACAATGCTAAGCCAGCTTGCGTTCGGGCCGCTGAAAAGAAGCTTAAGTTGAGCTGCGACGAATCCTAACATCAAAACAGGCTTTAGACAACGAGTGTCCAGCGCATCCAGCAAGAAACAACGAGCGTCATCTATCCGCTTAGAGGGCATTGTGTCTAACACTACTAAGGCTCCCAGTGCCAAACGGGCTTGCAGAGCAAACACACCTAGTCACTCACCTACGATGGTAAGGTCACCCACCCAAGCCATAAATATATCAAGATCCGTAGACAAGCAGTCGCCGCAGCCGGGTTGGGACATTTGGGAGTTCAGGGTACTTGCATTTAAGGTTCCGGATGACACATCGATGGGTGAGCTTAAGAGCACAATACTTAAAGTTACCGGTATCGCGGAAAATTAGGTACACCTTGAGAGGATGGCCAAAATATCAGTAAATTCCCAGCCGCAGCGGCGCCCTCCTCCTGAGTCACCCAAACCAACTCCGGGTCCCCGGGCCCCATCGACCACCCCCACAGCCCAAACCGGCAGCCCAAGCCCCGACCCGACCCCCCACCACCCCACCGGCCCCTAGCCCCCCCCCTGAACCAACCCGCCCTACCACCCACGAGCCCCACCTGAAGACCCGCCCCCCGCCGCCGCGTGACCACACACCCAGCCGCTCCGCCCTCCCAGCCCCCGCCCTCCACCGCCCACAGCCCCCGGTCTCGCCATACCGCCCCCCCACCCCCCCCGATCCCGCGCCCCCACCCCCACCCCAGCCCCCAACGACCCCTCACTCACCCCCACCGTCCCGCGGCGCCCCGCTCCAAGCCTCCCCGCAAAGGCGGCGTCACGTACTCCAACCCAGCGCCCCCCCCACCGGCACACCTCCCTCCCTTCTACCCACAAACCCTCCCATCCCAAACCCACCCCTCCCCGACCCATAAACCGAAAATTCACCACACCACCCCGACCCCCATCGTACCACACCCCATCCCTCTCGCCGCCCCGGCTCCCTCCCCCTCCCACAATGACCGGGCTCGCAACCCACCCGGCCTCCACTACGCACCCCCCCCCACGCCCCCCCCACGCCCCCCCTCTCACCCCGTACACCCCCCTCCCCCACACGCCCCCAAAAGAACCCCCCTGCCAGCACCCCGCGATCACCCCCCCCGCTCCCCCCTCACCGGCCTCACGCCAATTCCCACCACCCCCCCTCACCGCACCCTATCAGCCCCCGCCCCGACCACGCCCCGCCCCCCCCCCCGCACACCCCACCCCCCGCCGCCCCCCCAACCGACCGCCCCGCCCGCAAGCGCTGCTTCCGCATCACCCCACACCAACCAACACCGCCCCACCTCCCCCCCCTTCCCGGCCCGTGACGGCCGCTGCGCCCCCGCGCCACACGCCACACCCCAGTCCCCCCAGTCAGCCTGGACTCCGCCCCCCCCACCCGCCACCGCGCCCTTCCCCTTCCGCCAAGTGCCCTCCACCCCCGCTCTCCGGACCCAACCCTCGCCTGTTCCAACTACCCCCCTCCTCCCCAACCCTCACACCCCAAAACCGGCCACGTCAAGCACCGCCTCCACCCGCCCCCGCGCCCCCGCCCCTAGACCCCCGCCCGCCAACCCCGCACCATCCGCTTCCATAACCCCGCACCACCCCTCTCCCCCCCCGCACACATCCCGCCAATTCCCCAGCCGACCCACAGTCCACCTCAGGGCCTCCCGCAATCCTGTTACCACAACATCCGCCCTCGCCCCCCCCCTGCCCCCGCCCGGACCCCCCACCACCCGCCGCCCGCCGCCCGTCCTCCCCAGATCGAACGAAATCCCATTCCTCCTCTTCACCCGCCCATCCCTCATCCATCCTCAACCCGCTACGTTCGCCCCTTCCTCGACCCCCAGGTAATCCCTCCCCAACCGCTCTCTTGGCGTATGGACCCCTACCCCCCGACATCCAGATCCACTCCGCTTCGGGTCACCCACCCCCCCCCCGCGTCCGTGAATAACGCCGAGCTACACCACCCTGGGCCTGGCGCACAGCCACACGCCAGCGCCCCGCCATCCACCCCCGCCCTAAGTGCAGATCCCACCCACCACAGCACTCCCTTAACTGCCACCCGCCCTTGTCAATCCCCACCCGAACTTACCCACCCCAACGTGCAAGCTCGACCGTCCTCCGGGAGCAACCTTCACCTCCCCCCGCCCTCCCCGTCTCCGCCCCCCACCCTTCCCACCCTCCTCACTCCCCCCCACTCACCCCAACCACCCCATGCGCAGCCCTCTGACCCCTACACACACCCGCCAGCACCCGTGGCCGAGCACACCCAGACCCATCCCGGCGACACGCCCAACATACCATTACCCAGGTCGCCCGCCCACCCATTAAACCCGACAGGGCCAACTCTCCCCCGTTCGACGCTCAGCCGGCCCGTCCTGGGCACGCCAAGGTCCAGACCACTCTGCCCCCAGCCTAACCCTCCGATATTCCCTTCCCCTCCACCGCACCCGCCCCATCTCGAACGTAACCACCCGCCCGTCCAAGACACTGCGAGGCTACTCCCACCACGCCTCCCGAGTGTCCCCCCGTACGCCGCATGCACTGCCAGCCCATCCAGGCCAGGCCACCCCCGCCAACCCTCCTCGCCCCCACACCCCTCTCCTCCAGCCCCCTCGACCCCCCCCACGAAGCCCCCCTACCACGGGCGCCCCGGCGCCTCGCCACCGCAACCTCCACACCCCAAAGTAGGGCCACCCGCCACCCCGAGCCCCCCCCCGCTCTCTCAGCCTGCCCTAATGGCCCCCCCCCCCCCCC